CAACAGCTTCCTGCAGAACCTCATCAGTATCCATTAATGGCCGTCCGGGGCCCTTCTTCATTTCCAACGTCGTATCTCCACTGCTATATTTTTCTAACCAACATCGCGCAGTGTGCTGGTCAAGGACACCTTCCACACCATATTTAATAATTTAAGGAGTTCCTGCAGCGTCTGTGAACTTTTTTGTTTCAATAATGCCTTAAAATTACGATAACTTCGTAGGACACTGTCATGTTTCTTCTTTGAAACAAATAACTAAACTGAGGCTTTTTTTTTAAGAAGTCGAATGGGTCTAAACAAGCTTAGAGAATGCTCTATAAAGGGATTATTAAATATTGGTAAGTATTAAATAGGATTAAAATATTTACAGTCCTTTAAAATCTTGAATTTGATAAAATGTTTGTTATTTAATAGATAATAAAATAAAATCATAATACTATAAAATAAGGCTCTGTTAGTTTTTTCACCATATTTATTTTAATTTTCATTGCTACGTTTCGGCCGGTAAGCCATTTTATTCAACCATGCTTTTCGCATTTAGTCCAAAGTCTGATCAATTAGAACCAAAGTCCTTGGAATTACACTCTGGACTATATACGAAAAGTAAGGTTGAATAAAATGGCTTGAAGATGACTTACCGGCCGAAACGTTGCTATAAAAATTAAAATAAATATGGTGAAAAAATAAACAGAGTCTTATTTTATAGTATTATAATATTTAAAAAATTTCACCTTAAACAAACACATATGGAAATTAAAATTATATGATGAATGGCACTCTGCAATTGTAAGAAGTTGGTGCAGTCAGGAACGACTCAGTGGAAGGGTTCCAAAGAACCTCTATGCTAGAGGTTAGATAGGCCATTCTAAACCACGCGATTATTTTCAATCAATTCCGGGGCAAGAACCCCTCGAGGCGGACGTGGCCGGCCATCGCTGTCTTGTCGGATGTATAATTTAGCCTAAAGGTCACTAGGAGCTGCTACCGGCTCGTTCCCGAACGAGGCCCGGGTCGTGGGAGGCACAGTTTGGGAGAAAGTGTATCAGCTTCTTATATTCTTAATCCAAAGAGGTTACAACTTAATAATATTCCTCCTTGATGAACAGAAATTAAAAAATCTGGTGCGCGCAACACACAACTTTCACTTACCGCTCAACTTTGAATAGAAATTATTTTCTTGCCAGCCATGTGGGGCTATTATAAAATTTTATAATTGCATTTTTAACAGAGCTAAAGCTAAAAGCTAAAATCAATCATAAATGTCATTAAAATATAACAAAAGTCCTATTTATTATATCACCAGTTGATTATGGATTGTACGACTTAGTATTAGTTATTAAACTGTTATTTTCCGTAGCAAAGTTTGCTAAAATGGAATTAAGAGATTAAAATTGTCATAGACAGGCCAAAAATTGTCGCACTAATTGTAAGTGGATTCTGTTGGAATAGCGCAAAGAGAAAATTTATCAGATTATTTACTAATTAAATTTTCTAAAAAAGTTACATGATGATTTTTCGATACGATAGATACCTATTTATTTAAATATAATATCGGAGTTATTCGATATCTAGAGTTATTCGAGAACCATAACAAAATACAGTATATATATTTAAGGTTATAAATATATCCATGAAATAGTATCTTAAACAGTGTCTGCCTCGAATGTGTGGATTTTAAATACTTTTTCAAACTTAAAAATATTTTGAAAGTTTATATTTAGTTAATAAATTTCATTTAATGTCCTTGGAAACATGTGATTAATGTTAAATATTATTAATTTTCTTAAATTATTATCTGTAATTGTTTCACCACTCTCATTTACCTTCTACAACTTTCTATGTTAGATATTGTTTTTCCTAAAATTCTCCGCTTTCCAACCATATATCATACGTATACCTTCTGACTAGTATTTGTGTAGATTCATTTTCGACATGGTTAAGCATTTTTTTATTTTCTTCTTTATTCTCATTAGCATTTTTTCGTAACTCTTAATAATGTGAGTTGATTAATTATTTAAAATAAGCCTAAGGCCTGTAAAGTGACATCAATGGATATAAGACCTGATTTATATTAAAGATTACTTCATTATACAATGATTCACCGATTTTAATCAAAATCGTTATAGTCGTTTTTGAGAAAATTGTAAAAATGTGTTTCAGCGTTAATATAAATTGGCACTTCCGATTAGCCGATTTTAAGGAAACAGTTGCCGTCACATCTAAGGCATATACCTATCTTAAATAAGGAATATCAGTTTTTTAAGAGTTTTCATTTTTGAGCTATAGTGTTGAGATACACACAGACCATTTTGCAGGACTTGGTTATTTGGACTCAGGGTACCTCAAAACGTGTATTTCCGTTGAAAACTCAGATTCGGGAATTTTCACGATCGCAATAGTTTCCCTTACTATATATCACATATATAGGTAAGTGAAAGTAAAAATTAATCCTTAACAAGGTACACATGAGACCCACATCAGTGGAAATGTCAATGGTGAAATGATTCCTACAGATTTACCAATTATTTTTATAATAACTTCAATTTGTTAACCATCACAATCAGAAGAGCGAGCTGCAATCACCCAATCAGACAACAGTGAGGCGGAAGTAGTCGTTATAGCTCTCAGCTGATCACTGTGGTTAGGACGACATCGAGTCGTTTCGCTCTTGCCAATATCTGTCTTAATAACTATAACCTTAATAACTAGCGGATCCAGGATTTAATTTGGGGGGGGGGTTTGAGTCCGAAAGATTTTTTTTCGTATATATATATATAACGATAATTAATTTGAAAAAAAAGAAAGAAATTAACTACCTATATGAAATGGTGTTTTAGTGGTTCTTGAAGTCCTATTAAATGTAATTACACGAACAATAATACTTTAAGAGATATTTTTTAAATATATTTTTCCATAAAACATGGTTATATTTTACCATTTTGGGAGGCTTCAGCCCGAAAGTCCCCCCTCCCCCGTAGATCCGCCCATGCCGTTCTGTGTTACCGTTAGTACGAGGATCCTCGTATTTGTACGAGGTACTAGTATCGACTAGGCTCGTTTAGGAGTTTAGATTTATTTTAAAATTATTTTTACTGTGTTATTATTTATATTAATTTATAATACTAAACTTCTATTGCTTTAAAGACAAATAAATTGCAATTATATCTTCTTTAATTATATGATTATTATTCCCCTCATAAAACCATTGTTTATATTGCTTAGTTTTTTTTTAAATAATCATAGTTGTTTTTTTTTTTTTTTGTATATTATAGTATAAGTGAGAAAATAAATGCAGCTAGTCTTAAAATTTACATTTTCATAAAAATAATTTAAGCAATCACTGGGTATTCTCTGTATTTTAAACGTTAATGTCATGACTAGATACCATTATTTTGTCACTTATAAATATAAATCAATTCCTGTAATAGAGATCTTCGTAAAAAAAAAAACAAAAAAAAAAACCTCATTTTTCATTATCACTTTAGATGATAAATTATTGAAAAATTATTTTTATCATTTTTTTTTTAAATAAAAAATTATTTATGCATCTATATTTATTAATATGTATCACAGATTATTTAAAAAAAAATAGATTAAAGCTTTGCAGTAATTTATTGTAGTATGTTTTTTTGAAATCACAGTTATTTTTAAGATAACTGGATCTAAAATCACACAATTTTTTTAATATATCTAGAGGTAAATCTGAAGATTTACCCTAATAAATCTCAACTTAATTAATCATTTAATTATGATAACTAATTATGATGTCTTCTATCCTTACTAATCTGAAGGAAAATAAAAAATTAAAATAAATGTAGTTAACAACTTATAGGAGCTAACTGCTGTTTACAAATTTTAGATACACACATTTTCATAAGGAAATATTCTTTTATTATTCTGTCGTGACGTCGTGAGTCTTGACGATTTTCGAACGCGTTGTTCGTGACTTATCTGTGACTAGTTTCGTCACGGCCCATCCTTGCTCTAATTATCTTTTAAATGTTTCATGTTTTTCACTGCACTGGCGTTTAAAGTCATGTCGTATTGTCCAAGTTGTTTTAAATGGACGGATATTCAAGTGTAATGAACTCGAAGGGTTTATCGAGATAATGTATGTAGGTGTTAATGTTGGATATATACATATATACATTTTTGTTTGTTTCTGTTTTCTATACAGATCTAATAGATCTTTGGTCTTCCACGTGGTCTCTTGCCTACTATTGAGGCATTCATCGTTGTCTAATAGTACGTGGTACAGACCCCTTTTTATTAAATTATTAACATCCACCTGAAACTTCGTAAATAACTTCATCTCAACTATTTTATTTACTAAAACTCTTGAAATTGGGACGTTTTCAATCTGTAGGGGGGGAAACTTTGTCTATTTAATTAGATACTAAAAACTCTTAAATACTCATTTGTTTTCTACTTGGATCGTAGGATAATTTGATAAAAAAAATCGAGAAAAAAAGTGGCCTACAAAAATATTGGGCTGTTTGTTCTACGTAACCTTGTTATTTTGAAATTGTGGGGTGTATGTCACGCCAAACGGCTCAATATTTTTAAAGGTCACATTTTTTCTCGATTTTGTGATCAAATTATCTTATCGAAGTAGAAAGCAAATTTACGAGTTTTTAGTACCTAATTAAATAGACAAAGTTTGGTCCCCTCCAGATTGAAAACGTCCCAATTCCAAAAAATGTTGTAAATAAAATATTTGTAGGTTACGATGAGATGAAACTATTTACGACCAAGTTTCAGGCGGATGTTAATAATTCGATAAAAAGGGGTCTGTACCAAATGGTAAACGTCCGTGAACGTTTATTTTATGTTGATAAAAAATAAAACTATCTGAAACTACAGAATACATGTAAATTACAATTATACAATTTAAGCGACGAGCAGTACAATTAAATGAACAGTTGTATAGTTTGTAAAATGGGGGGGGTTGGTTCTCCGTCAGGCGGTCAGGGGGTACTCCTCCCCCCTAATTATAGATATTTATTATTATATTATGTTTATAAATAATGTAATATTATATATTAAATATATAATTTATTTTGTTGCAGGCGGAGTCGCGGCTGGCGGCGAAGAGGCAGGCTCGGGCCGAAGCGAGGGAGATCCGGATGAGAGAGATCGAGCGGCAGCAGAAGGAGCAAGATGAAGCGAGGCAGTCCAACACTCCCCTCTACGAGATAGGTAACAGGGAGATAGTATATAACTATAATTATATTTTTAAAAATAAAGCAAAAATAATCGATCGTAATATATCGATTTATAAGGCTTCCAACTGACCTCTATGGCTAAGATGACCAGATTTTTACTTTCACTTACGTATATATTTAATATATAGTAAGGGTAAGTATTGCGATCGTGAAAATTTTGGAATCTCAGTTTTCAATGGAAATACATGTTTTGAGGTCTACTGAGTCCAAATAACCAAGTGTCGCAAAATGGTCTGTGTGTGTGTGTGTTAACAGTCTATCTCAAAAATGAAAAGTAGTACGAAACTGATATTAAGTATTTAAGGTTTGTATATGACAGCAACTTTTTTGTTAAAATGGGCTAACCGGAAGTGCCACTTTATATGAACGCTGAAACACATTTTTACAATTTTCTCGAATTTGATTAAACTGGGTGTATCATTGTATAATTAAGTGGTCTTTAATATCATTCAAGTCTTATCCCCGTTGATGTCACTTTACACGGCTTAAATGCCCAATGTTCATATAAGTCTTACTCTAAAGTACCTTTAATATGGTTTATTTTGAAAAGTTAATCATTTCGCATTATAAAATGCTAAATATAACTTCTAAAAGAATTTCATAAGTTAACAACAGTGAAAAAAAGGAAAATATGCAGAAAAACCTGCGTGGCTATATACTGTAGCGCCTAAACGAATGTACCGATTTCAATGAAACTTCGCTAAAGTCATTTTCTCAACAGCCTTTAAATTTATCTATATAACATACTTCAACGAAAAGAAGCTGGAAAAAAAGGTTAGGAGGGATGGTAAAATTAAATTCCGAATAACTCAAAAAGTATACAATTTTTTGTGGATATTGTATATGTTTTTTTTTTTAAAGTTTAAGGAATTTCCTAAAAAACAAAAAAAAATCGTTAAAATCGGACAATTAGAAGGAAAGATATGGTCTCTAGTTTTTTTCCCTGAAGAGGCGAAAATTTGGATAAATTTAAAATATACTTGTTTAATTGTTGAGACTAAAAAAACCCTTTTTCGACAGATATTTAATAAAGTTTCTTTCTTAAGAACATCTTTCGTAACAAATATGTACCTTAATTTATACCTTTATTCTCAGTTCTATACTTCAACACTGCAATCACCACCTCTTGAATCAAACTTACTCACTGTCTGCATAGATAACTTTTTCAAATAAAAATATCTCTAAAATGACATCACTTAAAAATGTTTAAATTGGAGTTAGTCATTCTGTGGTCTATAAAAGCAAAGAAAGTTGTGTGGTTCATAAAAAGAGATGGAGTGACTAGATTTTTATTGCTTAACATCGATATATTAAATAGACATTTTGTAATTATAATGGTCTTAATGACTTGTTATCTGTAAGCTCTAGCTCGCTTTAAAATTTACTTCAAAAATTTTTATAATAGCCCAGCATTGCCAGAAAATAATTTCTATTCAAAGTAGAGCGGTAAGTGAAAGTTGTGTGTTGCGTGCACCAGATTTTTACATTGGCAAAGGAGACACCATTGACTGTGGGAGGGGAGGGAGAAATGGGTCATTAAAAATTTGGTTCATCAAGTCCAAATTTGTTGATACTTCTTCTTCTTCCTTGTCTTCTTCCTCAGTGCCTTTCAGTGTGGAGAGGCCTCAACCCATTTACGCCAGTCTTTCTCCAGGTCTCTCAGGTGGCCCAACTGTTCGCTTCTTTTCTATCGGAGCTTGGTCACTTCGTCAATCCAAGTTTTCCGTGGTCGTCCTCTTGGCCTCTTTTCTGTCGGTCTTGCCTCAAGAAATTTTCTGGGTTTTCTGTCCTCGTCCATCCTCATAACATGGCTGAACCATTTGAGCATTAGATCTTAGTTATATTTTCCACCTCTTGTTTTCCTAAGACCGTGTTGCAGATCTGGTAGTAGATGCCGATGCCATTAATACATCCCAATCCTTGGGTATCGTTTTCTCATCGTAAAATTTTTGAAATAGAGCTTGAAGTACACTTATTATACTTTTCCCTCCATATTTTATGAATTCAGGAGCAATGCCATCTGGTGCTTTTCCTGTCTGAAGTCTTTCCACAGCTGCTTCCACTTCTTCCACACAATCCCATCATGTTCAAAGTGTCACTCGCCATCTTCTTCTTCCTCTCCCACTCTTCTAGTTTCTTTAAAAATCTGGGAATAGTGCTGCCTCCATCTTTCAAAAATATCCGCATCGTTACATAAGATTTTGCCGGATATGTCTTTTATATTTCAAACTGGTTTGCATTTTTTACCTTTTATTGCTGTAATCTTTTCCCAGAAAGATCTGGTCTTTTTTTTTTTGTAATCTTTCTGAAGATTTTGGTCAAATTCGTTTGTTTGTACATAAAAATCATTTGTTGATACAATGATTCATTTTACTCATATAATCTAGCTCTGGGGCCTCAGATACCCAGCAACAATGCCGATCTATAATTGTACTGGATATCTTGAGGTATGCACACCTCTCCCCCCTGGTATAGGAACCTCACACAGCGGCAACGAAAATATTTGGCGCCCATTCAGAGAATGGCCCTGTTGCGTGTCACCAAAGCATTTAATACAACATCACATGAAGCAGTGCAGGTCCTAGCGAGGGTGGTACCTCTTGACCTCCTCCAATAAGATGTGACTAAATAAAAGGAGTTCCAGAAAATCTATGGGAAAGTATTGTGGAAAGTCCCAATAAATGGAAGGAGATAATCTAGGAGGATACCATTGAGGAATGGAGCCGTTTCCCGGCTATTCCCGAAAGGGAGTACTCTTACGAAATACTTCTCCGTGTAATCGTGGCTAGATTCACAATGGGTCCTCCCAGGCTATTGGGTTTCACCATTCCCACGGTTCAAGAAATGTATTTATGATTGGAAGGAGGCAGTAGGTACAGCCCACTTCGACATCGGAGCACAGAGAAGAGGACCACCACCAAGAAGACGCCAGGAGACGGTCACCCCTGATCAGAAGTCGCCGAAGATAAGAACTTGTAAACTGTTTCACTTGCAGTAGTGTGTTGTTATGCAGGATGTCCTTTTTGGAACTCTCTGTCTATCTCCGTACACTAATCCTCATCCACCAATCCTTCATATTCAAACTTCCACAACCATGTAAGGATTATTTGTTTTCTGTAATTACAACTGCTACTAACAATTAATTAACAAGTATTGTTTTGTATTTATCTTGCCAGGCTAATGTGCATAATTTCAAGACATTGTCACAATTCTTAGGTGATTTTAGTCCAAGAATAAAATTATTATCATTCTAAGATATCAAAAAAAAAAAAGCAGGCAACCGGTGGCCACTAGAGAATTTGTAGTGGAAGCCAATACCGTCCTCGTCTGAAGGTCTATTGTCCGGTACACTTTATTGGATACCTCTAATGGCCTCGAGGCAGACACATACAGGAAAACTATACACCATTAACAAATATCAAAATGCAACAATTTGTTTTTTAATTTTTGATTTTATCGCCTTTGAATGCCTAAGATACTTCTTGGTATCTTTTATAGTCTTATAATTATATTTAAAATTTAATATTTTTTTAACTTGTTTCAGATGGGTTAAGAGGCGGGAGACTCAACAGCAGTAGTGGTCGCCTGTCAGCGTCAAATAGTTACCATTCTTCAAGGAGAAGTTCCGAGGACTCCCTTGAAGAAACATCCTCCATCGGCCACATAAGGGTAATTTATCAACTCAAAGAAACCTTTTCTTTTAAACTATATATTACTATGTTTTTTTTTTACAAATCATTTAAAATATAATATGTAACTTTAAAAACTGTAAAGATAAATATGGAAAACTACAAACCGTGAAGCATTGAATCTCTAAAAACAGATGAATAGTTTAACCTTTCAACATTCCACCAACCCAGACATCATTAGGACAGAACACAAAAGATCACATAAATGCAGAAAAAAAAATATTCACATTTTTTCTGTACAGTACACCTAAGCCATCCTAAAACATACTCTAGGTTATCTGGTTTGGAATCGCCTCCTTCTATCCTTATTACTTTGTGTATTCTTTTGAGCTATTTGCTCTTTTATAACAATTTAAATATTATTTATAAAAATGTTCTTTCTATATAGTAAAATTTTGATTATTTGTTACCATTCCAAATATTTGACATTTAAATAATTAAATAGATAACGGAAATACTATTTAAAAAATAACATACTTTATCATCAGTTAAATATAACAAGGATGGAAAAAAAAATTGTCAGGATTTGCAGTCAAAATATCTCTAATGAGTTTGCTGACGTTTTGATCCAAACATGTGGGTTATCATAAGGGTTAAAAATTAAAAAATATAAAAATAATATCAGAAAAATGATAAATATATAAATGTAATAGTAATGAAGAATAATGGTGATAAGAATAAATATATAAGATAATAGCATTAAGAGTAAAGAATAAAATCAGAATGATAGATATAAAAGTATATGAAAAGAAAAAAAAATTAACCTTTTTCTTCTCTTATACTTTTATATTTAGGTTTATCTTTAGGTTGAAACATTAGCTCAGTCTTTAGAGATATTTTGACTGCAAATCCTGACAATTTTTTATTTTCTATATTCTTATAATTTCAACAGTTTACTACTTACCCATCTCATACAATTTTTATTAAATAACTATTATCATGTAAATAATATTTGATCAACATAGTCATAGAACTAGAAAATTCCAGAATAGACTCAAAATATCATTCATTTTAATGTTTTCTTGAATTTTTTTTATATTATTAAAACTAAATAAATACCTTTTGAAAAATAATTCATTTGCCTAATAATAGGGTTATATAAATAAACTAGCTGATGTACTCGTCGTTGACGGGTGTATAGTTAAATTTTGAGAATCTTATATTTTGGGGGAGGGATTCCGAATTTAATTTTATAAAATTGGGTGAGGAGTTGTTTTGAAATTGTTTATGCTGGAAGTCAAGATTTCGCAATAGTCATAATAAAAACATTGTTATTAGGCTGTTTAGGTGCCACACAACTATACCGAACACCAACGATCCATTAAAAGTTTTTAAGAATAATTAAAATGAGCTGTTGTCTCTCCACTTCTTTATTTGTATAAAAAACAGCAAACATTTTTTTTATATATTTTTTTTTTTTGCGATCCGTTTGTTTAATCCTAAAATTGTGTACAACATTTATTAGGCTCGGGAAGTTAAATCGAATGACACCTTGAACAGAAAGATTAGACAAAGTTGAAAAATGAGTGTGTTTTAAGAGACAAAGCGTTACAGATGTTCGGGATTTTTCCCGTTGAGTTGTGATAATTTTTTCTTCAGTTGAATAGTACAACTTTTAAATATGGCTCGCGATAGAGTAGGTTGTGATGAGAATCGAAGTAAGTAACTGCCTAACCAGGATCTCTAGACAAATTACTTAAGAATTCATAACTTTAGTTCTACTCAATATTTTGGTTTCATTTAAAGCCTATGTTTTAAGTCAAGCAAACCTAATGGTAATGTTAAAATTTAAAAAAGTCTAACATTAGCCATTGCTGAGCTTACCCCTGACAAAATTTCGTTGGGCAATGCAGACATACAGACAGACAAAATTTTTTTTTAAAAGTGGATTTGTTGTCTGTAATGTATGAAACAGAAAAATATCATGAAACGGGTTGATTTTAGTCAATGTACAGACAAAATCTTTATTTTATTTATATAGATCTAATTTTTTTATTTTCGAGTGAGCTCATACAAATGTGGTTAATAGGAAAAACTATGGAAATAAAACAATCAGATTGGATATAATAATAAACAAAACAAACTTTCTTAAACAAAATAAAAATACACTAAGTCCAAACATTACTATTTACATTTCATACTAAAACCTAAAGATAAAGCTATTTATTCTGAGGCAAACACAAAAAGATTTCTTAATTTTAAAAACAATCTTATACATACCAGTGTAAATCATTATAGTCATATTTATTTTCTACTTATAATAGCTGTTTTATTTTGACTTTATCGTTAGAAGTGTTTTCAATATATGTAGAGCAATGCTACATAAAATGTTATAATCTTCATGTTCACTTAATATTGTAAATAGAAAATTCAGCATTCATATCTAGATTACTATTTTGAAAACCATTAGGAATTGTTTAAGTTCTCAAGTTGCCTTGATTTTAGTTCATAACTTAATTGAATAATCATTCTGTTTTCTTATTGCCGCATTCATTTTTAAATAATATTTGCAAATTTTCATTCTATTCAGTTAAACCTTAAATATTCGTCACTACCACAAGGATTGTTAAGTGAATGGAAAGATAACAGAAATAACATTAGAAAAATATCTTAACCTATAAAAAGTGTAATTTTAGTATATAAATAAATTAAACAAATTTTAAATATACAATAAACCTGAAAATTTGCTAACAGGCTCAAAACTTCATTGAAAAAAACCAACATAATGATCAGCTTTTAATTTTTTCATGAAAATTTTGTGTTATTACAAAAAGCAAATATTCTTAGAAAATAATATTATTTATATAACAATATGTTTATATAAAAATTAATATAATTAATGAAGCCATATCAAAAATTGAAATTAATTTGGCTTTTTAAAAGAATTGTTGAACTATTTATTTTTACAAAAATTATCATTTATTAATGCTTCAAAGGCATCAATTTGTTACTATTCTTTTGTTTAAAGAAAAAAAAAAATTATTTATGCTATGCTACGCTTAATGAAATTGAACCCTTGAAGACTACGGAATAGAAACACTTTCATAATTCTTCCTTATTCATGTTGTCTCTATTTATAACTTCTCTACACTAAAAATGTCTGTTTAACATTTGTTCCTTCTTTTTCCGAAACCTTGAGTTTTTTATTAGAAAGAAGTCATAAATAGAAAATTTATGTGAAATTAAACCAATAAAATTATAAATTGTGATTTTTAATTTAATTTTATCTATTTACGATTTTATTAAATATGCTTGTAAACTAATTTTCATGAAAAAAAAAAAATCTGAAAACCCATTCTTAATCGGTTGACAAGAGTGTCGTGATAAAAAAGTGTGAAACTGAAATATATAATATAATAAATAATAGGAAGAAAGTTAAAATAAAATTTTTAAAACATATAAAATTAAAAAAAATTAATTGGTAACTAAGGAATTTCCTAAGCAATTTTGAGGAGATAGAAAAAAACAACATGAAGACAGATAACAAATATATCATCAAATGCAGTAATAACAAAAATAATTTTTTTTATCGTCTACCTTAAAAATGTGAACATTATTTTGGATATTTTATACAAAGCAATCACGTCATTACAATTAAGCAAAATTTATTTTGACTAATACTTTCCTCAATTAAAATAAACAGTAAATATTAAAAAAATAATAAAAACTCTGTACTTAAAATAAACTATAAAATTTCACTAGCATTTTTTAATTATAATTTTATTGTTTTATGTAATGATTCTGGTTTTTTATAATTATTTAATTATGTTGATATTGAAATTAAATGTATATATATTTATATTTATTCTTTTTTTAAACGTTAATTACTTAATAAATAGAACTCTTTTTTTTATCCTAAAACAAGATACAAAACAATGCAACTTTTTATTAACAAAAAAACCGTTACTAAGTTACATCACATTTTTATTTATCTGTATTCTTTCTTTTAATTGGTCAGTTTTTAGTGATATTTTTATTCTAAATAATAAAAAAAAAATTATTAAAAATACATATTTTATACATTAAAATTAAGTCAAACACAAAAATTAAATAACAAAAAAAAATACATTAAAAAAGAAAATATATATTTTATTTTTATATATGTTTTTATTTAATATATATAATATTAAAAAATTGGTAACCTGATGAAAGGTGAAAATCACAAATATATACTTCTAATTATGTTTATTTTTTAACATTTTTACAAGTGTTCTAATATAATGACCTCAATTCTCGTTTGTTAAATGTAATGTGTGCTAACTAAAAATAATTTTCTGGTGACAATGCCGTCTACTCAGGTCATGTATACTCTTGTTCAAACGAGAGATAAGATAACGAACAGCTGTCTGATAACTGGATAAAGTAAAATAAATAAAAAAAATATGTAATAAGATCAAGTAGTCAGTGAGTTATATGCAGAAGGCATTGTCATTGTATTGTTTGTCAGAAGTATAAAATTTGAAGGCTAGGCTGTTGATGTCGGTTAATTGAGAGCTAAATGTGTGACAGTGGTTGCCAAAAGATATAAATACCGCAGTCTCCGTTCTAATCCCTGGCTCATGCAGTGTGCGTGTGATTGTGAGCTGGTCTGTGTCAGTGAGTGCGAACGCTCGGCATAGATAACACCTTTTGGCATCGTGCCTACCTTCTCCGCTATCTTTATTGTCATTAGGCTCAACTTTCTCGCCTAATTATCCAGTGTTTATCTTTATAGCTCAGTTTTAAAGTTTATTTCTATGTCATATTCATAATTGTTTTATGAATGATTTATATTTAAAGTAAACTCTTTTTTGTATTTATTTGTAGCATATTTTAGTGTCAGAAATGAGCTCGAGCAGCTCTGACAGTTCGGATGAAGATACGAAAAGTGGTAGTGACGATGAAGATCCGTCCTCGACAGAAGAGGAGGATTCTTCAAGTGTTGATTCAAATAGTCCTAAAATAATCGTTAACAATAGTGTCGATAATACTTCGGCTGTCACTAACGGTTTTGTTAATGGTGTTGATGATGATGACGATGGTGACAGTCAAGACAAAGATGAAGAATTTCCTGACGGCGATAACCCTCCTCCAATGAACGGTTTAATTAACGAACTGATTGATGGTTGTTCTCAGAGCGAACTGCGCGAGGCAGAGGATAAGTTTCGGAAGGCCATGATCGGCAATGCCCAGCTGGACAACGAGAAAACTGCCGCAGCCTACCAGGTTGAACTGTACAAGGATAGGCTTGAGGAGCTGGGAGAGGAATATGCCCAACTTCAGGTAAAATATTCATTATTTATTATTTTACTATCATTAAGGATTTAATTTTTAAGTCAATTTGGTATAATTTCTTATTAATTAATTTTATGATAAACAACCTTGTTTTGTTTTTATATATATTTTTTGGTTAGATCTTAGTATAATTATTATATTTAATCAATATACGATTAATGTTTTGATATAAATACCTCATTAATCCCACCGATTTCATTTTATTTATAAAAAAAATCATTATAACAAGAAATTTAATTTCACCATGTTATAACATTTCAGCTTTTATTGCCATTTTCAAATATTATAATAAAACAGCAATCAGTTATTATTTTTTACAATTTTAATATTACTCAATGGTATTAATTATTAATTTCATGTTATAAATGTAGTTGTTTTCTTATTTTCTCCTTATCACAATTACTTTGAATTTTTTTCCTCCTTTAAAAAAAAAAAGGTTTTTATTGAAATTATAATATTTATAAAAAATATTTTTACATAAATTACTAAATTGTGATAAGATAAGTAATTTATTTAATTTTCGAGGAGACTGTTTATAACAAAATGAGAGAGAGAAAACAATAAACCTAAGTAATTGTGATAAGGAGAAAATAAAAATAACTACATTAATAATATGTTATCAACAATTACTACCATAGAATAGTGTACTATAAATAAATGTTTAACTTATTGTTATGAATTATTTTTTTAGATATTTGACAATGACAAAAAAAACCAAACATTATTATATGGAGGAAATAAATAAAATCTGTGGTATTAATGGGCTATTTTTATCATAAAATTATGAATCTATAATTCATTATAGTATACATAATAATATAATATTATATAATAGTCATCCACATGTAGGTGGTGAAGGTGTGACATATAAGTACTTTTTTTTAATATCTATTTTTTCTTTTTATTTCTTTTTATTATTTTTATTGATTGTTTAATTTTTATTTTAGCTTGTTTATATAAGTTATGAATAAAGACCAGATTTTCGTGCAGTAAAAATCGAAAAAAACGTGCAGCAAAAACCTGAAAATGTGCATAATCATGCAGTAAAAGCCCAAAATATGTACAATTGTGTAATTAACACATAGGTACATGCAAAATCATCAATATTGTTTATTTTATAATAATATGTCAAAATTTTATCAGATCTTGAGTTAACGAGACATAAAAGATATATTAAAAAAATTTAAATGCAACATGCAAAATGAAATTCCGTATAGGAATCAACAAACAACAACAATATATCATATATTACAACAATAAATTACAACTAACCTGAACCGTAAAGAAAGAGGAATTTAAACAATAATAAGGATTACATAAATCTAACATTGACTTAATACCCTTTAACAACTATAATGAACAATAAAAATAATAATGAAAACTTTATTTTTTAAAGGAATTAAATTTCTAATATACAGCACATAACTTTTTTTTTTTTTAATTTAAATAATTTTTAAGAAACTAGATTTTACTTTCAGTATTATTATTATATATTTTTTAACAATAATGAAGTTACTTCAAAGCATGAAGGGATGAAGAATTCAAATCAAAACAATAATAATAAATTTCTTACTAACAAAACAGCTTATTCTAGAAAAGCAGTTTTTTATTATTCTATACTTCGGGCAAGTTCTATTCCAAGATTATTTTTCCTTGTCACAGAATTATTCATCTTCCTCATATTTTTTTATGAGGTAAAAGAAATGAATTTAATTATACAATATAGTAAAATAAAAAAATTAAATATTAACACACTCATATACTTTGTATTTATAAATCATCTAATTTATCACACAAAAGTGCTAAAATGTGCAATTTAATGTAACAAAAATCAAAATCATGCAATTTAAGCAAAAAATGGCAATTTCGTGCAATATAAAATTTAAATATGTTATTCTACAGATTCTGAAACGGATAGATATCCGGGTCCGGAGTTTCAAGACACAAACGAATAAAATGTGCACTAACATGGAAATCCGATCTCTAGTTATGAATATATAAAGCCATAATTATTGTCCTTGATTGTGACAGATCATATTATTATTCTCCAATAATAAGAATAATTTTTTATATAAAATTATAATTACTCCGTAAACTTTTAATTATATATATAACTTTACATAATGTTCTTGCAGTCTAGATCCCTTATCAATTCTGTAGAATACATATATTTGTGCTAATTCATTTAAATATTTTCAATTTTTTTACATATATATTTGTTATGTTATAAAATGTATCTTTGCAATCCACAAAGTATCTTGGGTTCAGTACTTTGTAAGGAAGTATTGTTTGTTAGTGAATGGTTGTGTGAGGAGTTGATTTGACTGAAATCTCGCTCAAATCCCCTCTTAATTACACTATGTAGTAAAAATTACCCACGCTATAAAGGTTGGGTGTGCCCTAGGAGGGTCTTCCAACACCACGGTCAATTCATGGTTTAAGTAAAAGAATAAATATGAGAAGGAATTAGTCGAGGGTGCGGTCAAAAAAATAAAAAAAAAAATTAAAATATATAAATAATTTTAATTTTTGCCGACGTTTCGACCCACTTTGCAGGTCGTCTTCAGGGCGTTGGATGTGGCACTGCGGGAGGCGGTTGAAACACTCAAAGAATAAATAATTACCTTCCACAGCCAGAATTGAACTTGGGACAAGGAGCATAGGAGCACAATGTCTTAATAAGCTAACCCCCTCCTTTCTTTTTTTCTTTTTATTTTTATATATAGTTTATATTATTTAGAAAAATCTTTTAATTTTGACTCCCTATCATGTATGGTATTTTGTTTACGTTTTTACTTTCACTTACGTATATATGTAATATATGGTAAGGGTAAGTATTGCAATCGTGAAAATTTTTTATATATGGGGAGAGGGAGTCTTAAGCCCGAAATCTCTTTCTCCTCTTGTGATCACATAAAAAATTTCTTTCTAAAGCAGTTAAATCAAATGTCATTTAAATGTTAATGAAATCAATTATTTTATCTTATAATAATGTAGAACCTTAACTGTAATTAAAATGAACTACACTTGTTTTGGAAATCTGTGTATCGTGTGTTACACTATTCATTTTTTTAAAATATTTTGGTTTATGGAATATGCATGTTTTCTCAGCTGATTAATATTAATCTCAATCATAATTTATTTAAATGTTTTACTACTTTTTTGTTATAAGTAATGTTTCAAAATTTTCATTTGGATTGGTTTTATTTTATTCCTTTAATTATTTTCACCAATTGCAAGTCCCATAGTTGTCAGATGTTGATCATTAAGCATTACTTAATGATTTTTGCAATGAACTCACTTGTGAGTCACTCATATGTTGAGTTAAAAAGCTGCTATCTTTATTTGTTTTCTTTAAATTGTTCTTCTGATTACATTATTTATTGAAAGCCAATTTTATAATGCAATTTTACTTCAAGATCATATCTCATTTGCAGTTTACATTCTGGATCATAAGAACTTTCCATCAAAGCTAATTACAATTATAATTAGATAAATGGTATCTGGTACAAGGTAAACATTGAAGCTAATCGAGCGGTCTATAAATAAACTAGGCTCTTATTGTTCAGTCGTAACAAAGGTCAATTTATCATTACAGTTGAGAACACATTTTTTACCAGTTATCTTCTTAACCTCTCTACCTTCCGTCAACACTTTCAAATAGCTTTTATTTTATTTTATCATTAAAACTTGATAAGATTAATTTTGAATTAGTATTGTCGGTTAAGATTAGGTTATTAAAAGAAAATCAATTGAGGTCCCTTTTAAAACGTATATGAGATTGAGATTAGTCTGGGAGATATAGAGGGAATGGGGGTTGTGGTCTGAGTCCATTGTTGTGTGGTGCATACAACTACCAAAAATGATATTTTTGTATGTTTCTCCTTTAGTTAATTATCAAATTCTTTCATATTTTATATTTAGCTATCTTTTATATTAGAAATTTTTGTGAAATGTTAAATTGTTTCAAATAAATAAAATTAAAGGTACTTTAGAGGATGCTAATATTGAAAATTAGCTGTTTAAACCCTGTTAGAAAACATCAACCAGAATAAAAACTACATTATATTTAAAACTGCTTAATTTTACACTGATATGATGAATTTAATCAAAACTGTTAGAGCTTTTTTCGAGAAAATCACAAAGATGTGTTTAGTCCATTATATAAAGTGCAACTTGCGGTTAGCCGATTTTGACGAAAAAGTTGCTGTAACATCCATAGCGTATAGCAATATGCAATTTCACTTGCATACGACTTTTTGTTTTTGAGCTGTTAACACCAGATTTTTTTTAATTTGAAATAATTAATGACTTTGCATTATAAACCGCTATAAAAAATGGTTAAATATAAATATGAAACAATTTTGTAATTAATTAAAGAAAAAATAAGAAATCCGAGGTTGGCCGAAAGATTAGAATAAGCTTCTGTATGTAACACGTGTTAAATAAAATATGGGCTCCAATAATATTATAAATATATAGATGTGTGGTTTTTCATAAATGGTAGCGTGGAAATTATTTATTATTTAATTGCATTTATTACAGCAATATAAAAATTAAAATTCATACATATTCCAATGCATAAGCAAAAATAAAAATAACTACAATGAAGTATAAATAAATATACAGTCGTGAAAGGAATTGGTTAGTGACGAAATAAGCATAAACATAATATGGGGCTTTGAAAAAAATGGTAATTAATTGTTTTAAATTACATTTTGTATCATCCTTTTTTTCCTTTAACTTTCCTTTAACTGAAAATATCTATTTCTCCAAAAAAATAAAATAAAAGAAAAAGATTAAAAGTTGTATGATGTGCACAATACCAGATTTTTTTTTACAATATTTACAATAAGTATTAATATTTGTATCCTTTGGAAATATTCCAATTATTAAGCTATGCCAAAAAGATGAAACACTTGCAATTGTTTACTTCATTTTATTTATAACCCACTCTATATCTTTGTGTTTACTCATTATTCTATATCAACAAAATCTAATATCTAATCTAAGCAATGTATAATTCTTTTTCTTATAATTATTGCATAATGTTCATTAATTATTATTATATATGCGTATAATCATTAAATATATTGATAAGCAATATATTTTATTAGATAATTTAAAATCGGATTGAAATTCATGTAAATAAACATTTGGTCAGTTTTCTATACTTACTAAGAGGTGGTTACGGATGTGATCATCGATTTCAGTTTTGTTTTTAGTGATACTAGATCAAAAAATATTAGACCTGTTTTCGAGGGTTCTTACCAATGTGCCGTAGGAAACAGAAGAAAAAAATTCTTTTTGTAATTGACCAGACTTTTAGGTTATTATATACCAACCGATTTATTCTTCAGTTCACAACAGGAAATAAATATTGATTTTGGTATTAAATAAGTTGTAAAGTATCTTAAATAACAATAACCAAAAGGCACTTCATGTAAAGTAGACTATTTTATCCAGTAAATTTTTGGTATAATAAAGAAAATTACTTTCATTTTTAGTGTATTAGGGCACATTGGTAAGAACCTTTGAATATGGGTCCAATATCACCAAAAAAAAATTTAATTGAAATCGGTGGACCCCACTGTTTTTACGGGCGTTACCTGAAGCCAATACTCAAAATTTTCTTCAAATTCAACGTTAGCACAATCGTTAGAAAGATGATTTACTGCTCTTCCAAACCAAATCAATGAATTTTGTATTTAATTCATTCGGTACCATTTTTTATATAACACGAATCTCTAAGTCCCTGATAATTTTTGTGTTATTTAGTAGAGTGATAGTGTCATTTATAAGTTATCACAATTTTTGTGGTTGGCAAAAATACAAATATATTTCATATCCGATTTCATGCAAAATATTTTATTGTTTTGATTCCTATGAAAATTCTTATCTTCTTGTTATCACATCCATTTTAGTAACGTTTTCATTATTTTTCACAGAGAGAACATAAAGAGAAGTGCCGGCAGTACGAGCAGATGAAGAGGGATTCTGAGAAACTCGCTAAAGATCTCCAGCTGGCGATGGCTGCCCTAGAGGAGCGTGACAGGCTCATTCAAGTAAGTTGCCTAGTTGGTATTTAAATAGGGGGCAGGGTGGCCGAGCAGGCTAGTTCGTGCAAAAAACACGTTTTGCCCGGCAACCGGATGATAAACTGAAGTTTATTAAATATAAAATACTAATGAGTTTGCATTTCGGTACCGGTGGAGCTTTTAATTCTGGCATTAATCCCGCTGTCCCGGGAAAACCCTTATATAGCCTAAAAGGGGAAGTAGAGATGGACAGTAAAAAAGTTGAAGGGCAGGAAACCCACTTTTTTTGTGAACATTGCCTTCTTTTTAATAAATAGTTGCAAGGTAGGGGAGCCTGGCCCACGGACTATATGTAATATAAAATATATGTTTGAAGTAACTACTTACGACCTACTTCCTATCATTAATTTTCACAAACTCAAAGTTATTTCAAATAATGGATATAGATAATTTTTTGATATTATAGATAAACCAGTAGTAGGTAAATATATTCAACAAATGTATCTGTCCACTAAATATATTTTGTGAAAATATCACAATGAATAAATAATATGTTCCTATATATAAAATAAAGATAAAAATATTTCACAATCCTTATTGCGGTTCTTCAGGTTGCTTTTGTTTGGCCGGAATTTCAAAGTTCGGCTCAACTCTAGTTGAAAACGGTATTAATAAATGCACTGGTCGAATTTTAGATAGGTTCAGTTGAAATGATGAGTTGAATTTTTCCAATTATAACCTATTATTTTCCTAAATGTTTAAGCTGTTCTAAACTGAAAATTTCATCTTAATTTTAGGGAAATTAGTATCTTACTGTGGGCAGATATTGTTTAAAAATTAGTAAGTAGAAACAGTAAAACAAGTGCTCTTCCACTTCATTTAATATTTCTGATATCAGGGTTTTAATCTTGTTATGTACATTAAATGGCAGGTCTAAATTATACTTTCATACGAGAAAGAGAACTTGAAATTTGAAAATCTATTGGCTGGTCACATGCCCATTCATTATCCATCATCTAAAAATATTATGTTCACTGAAGTACTTTATGTTTTCTTTAAATAATTTAAAACATACTATGCTAAAAAAAACTTCATTGGTATAAATCAAAATCTAAAAACTTCCCGTCAAGTTAATTTTTTTTTAGTGATTGCATCTTTTGTTAGTTTACTTAAATTTCTATTGTTATTATATTTAACATCATGTAATAAATTATTATATATTAATTGAATAATCTTTTTTTCCCTTAGGAGCAAGGTCTTGTAATCGTCGGAGGTGATGGTTCATCTTCGGATGTCTCTTCGGAAGATGAGGCTGACGATAAGCCTAACAAGAGGCGAGGAGGAAAACGAGCTCTTGTCTCCGCCGAAGGTGCTGACCTCCTAGCTACTGTTTCCGGATCTCTAGGTAACTAATATTACATTTCTTCTATTTAGTAAACATTTAAAGTATCGAGTTGTTTGGTAGGAAATTCAATAAGGCTTTTAAAAAAAAAAGAAAAAGATAATTAATTTTCTCCTGATAGATAAAATCGATTAAAAAAATCAACAAGAGAAGTAAATTAGGTGTTAAGTTATAATTGGATAAATCCAACCATTCAGCTTTGTGTCGCTAAAATGCAGGTAAAAAAACAACTAAATCGACAACATTTTGGCAATTCAGGCATCACTAGGACAGAAAACACCCTAAATCACACGTCCTGATTATGCCTGAATTGGCGAATCGTTGATGGCTTAGTTTTGTTTTTACCTGAATTTTAAAAAGACATGGATGTGTGTGGTTGATTTTTTTCCGACTATAACTGTAAATAACCTACTGTTTTGTCAGGGCTCTAGATTATTTACACTCGTGAATTTAATTTTCTTACAAAACAAAACCCCAGCACTGGATATAAATTTTTTGAGAGTGTTTAACTATCTTTGGGAATTCGTGAACCTAATGCTTTTGTGACACTGAGTGATAGGAAATAATAAGAATATATATAAAATGTAGGACTTAGTAAACACACTTTGAATGAATTGACTCATCTGGTTTGTTATTTTTCGATTTTGAGGCATATAGGACAACTAAGTAGAAGAACTTTTCACTCCTGTATAACAAAACTATTTATTTTAACAACTGTAATAAATGAATGTATTAAAGTGGTATAACTGTTGGCTCGATATGTTTAATCTTCAGTGTAGTAGGCTTCTCTTCTCATGTAATATCCTTCCTTCTTCCTCTCCAGGCAACATTTGTTTTCTTTGTTCTACCAGCATCCTTCTTCAGCTGCTGCCCTCTACTGGGCTTTTCCAGGTTTCTTACTTTCTCTGTTCTGTATCTTTTTCGTCGATTGTTTATCGATTAGATACTTTTCAATAAACAACTTGTCCACTGCATAATTGAGTACAATTCATAATGCAACCCTACATTCATATACATTCCTTCTCATTCCCTCACTTACTGTCACATAAAGGAGTAAATACTAGAGGCCATCCTAATACATAACCTATCATTTTTTAATGAAGAGAAGAATAGTTGGGGTGATCAGTCAAATAAGAAGGCAAAAATAAATGATAATATTTATTTTGACATTTGCCGATGTTTCGACCTGAAGTTCAGGCCATCATCAGGGCTTAGAAAAGAACCAGATAACAAGGTATGAGAAACATAAGTAGTGTAGGAAAAAAAATTAAAGTAAAATTCAGTTGTTAGAATAATGACAATAGTAAGAACAAAGAGATAAATAATATTAACCGTTACAAAGTGTGGAATGATGAAGTAAACGTAATCAAAAAAGGTGACATAAGTATTAAAATAGAAATCTTAGAATAAAATGTAAAACCGAAAAATATGAAGTTATATTTTATTCTAAGATTCCTATTTTAATACTTATATCACCTTTTTTGATTATGTTTACTTCATCATTCCACACTTTGTACCGGTTATTATCATTTATCTCTTAGTTCTTACTATTGTCATTATTCTAACAACTGCATTTTAATTTAATTTTTTTTTTTTATCTACACTACCTATGTTTTCCATACGTTGTTATCTGGTTCTTTTTCTTAGCCCTGATGATGGCCTGAACTTAAGGTCGAAACATCGGCAAATGCCTTCTTATTTGACTGATCACCCCTACTATTCTTCTCTTCATTATTCACGACAGTCAACCATTTACCCACAATTATCATTTTTTAAATGTTCGAGCTGTTCTGAACTGAAAATTTAATCATAATTTTAAGAAAATTAGTATCCCATTGCGGGCAGATATTATTGAAAAATTATTGAGTCGATAATAAAACATTTACTGTTATATTAAGCTATAACTGACGTGGCTACATCAAAGTAACTTCTCATGACTTTCTAAATAGTTATCTAGATAATTGTGCTCAATGGTCTATTAATGAAACCTGTATACTTGAAGATTCATACCATTTTCTATTACGTTGTTCTATCTATACCATTTCTAAAAATAAATATTTAAGTAAATATATTTATAATTAATTACAAATAGAATTTAATTTATTAAAATATATTAAAATAATTTCTCAGAAACTAAAAATTGGACCTGCATACTGTAAGCGATGGAATTGTTCAGTATTTCATCCTCTCTGTAGTGGACTATTATTAAAAATCGTGTCTGAACGCAATGCCATGTTAGAGAGGCAAAAAGGACAAAATAGCATCGAATACCAAATGATAATGAGTTTTCTTGAAGATATGGATCAAAATATCTCAGTATTTAAAAATCGGACCTGCATACTGTTAGTGAAGGAAATGTTTAGCATTTCATCCTCTTTATAATGAGCTATTATTTATAATTTATATTTAATACTTCACTTGTGTGATCTAAGGCACACGCCTCAGTTGTTTTTTCTTTTTACCCAAGCTATATCTATATTTTTTAAAATAATATTTTAGCAATAATATTTGAATTTAATTCACTTTTATTGTTTAAAAAATTTGCTTTGTTTAACTTTACATTAAACCTAACTGTTAAAATTTTTATTTAATAGTTTATATATGTAATATTTCTATATATTTATTTTCTATAAAACTTAACCATGTTTGTTTTGGTTTTACCCAAAAACAAATTAAGAATTATTTGTTTATTTATGTGTTAAAGATGTGCGATTGAAGAAACTCGCTGCCGAAAGGAACGAACTATCTGATGAGCTCCGCCATGTCAAGCTGGAGCTGGAAGAGGAGAGGAATCGGGGGAGAGGCATTGGAGCGAACCCCGCTGATCTTGAAGATATACAGAGTCTGTGTCAACTAAATTATTATCAAAAAATATTTTAATTTATTAAAATTCATTCAAATTAAACTTAGTTCAATTATATTTAAACATACTAATCTTAATAGACAGTATATTCCAATGTGTTTTATAAAATTTCAGGAATACTGAGTATGAAGTAACAATAATCTTGTTTTATTATGTTATCTAGGAGAAGCGAACAAGCAGTTGGGTGATTTGAAGTTCAAGTTGCAAAAAGCAGAGCAGGATGTTTCAACGTTGCAGGCTACGGTAAGACATTATCATTCCATAATATTTTTAAATACCCTTATATTACAAACTTTAACTTTTATATTGTTGTATTCTATACAATTAAAAATTAAATAATACCAAGAATCTGTATTATATTAAGCTCATGTTACGTATGGAAGCCTGTTGTAATCTTTCAGGTGCGCTCGTATTGCTTTGAATCCTCCATGACAACTATCTCTTAATTTCTCCTTTAGTTAGTAATCAACTTCTTTCATATTTTATATTTAGCTATTTTTTATACCAAAGATTAATGTGAAATGGTTAATTATTTTAAATTGAAAAAATTAAAGGTACTTTAGAAGAATCTAATATTGAAAATTAGGCATTTAAGCACTGTTAGAGATCACCAATGAGAATAAATCCTACATTATATTAAAAGCTGCTTAATAATACATTGATATACTGAGTTAAATCAAAATCGAGGAGCAAAAGGAGCCAATCAATATAAATATAGCTTAGTTTGATAGCAAGTATACAATGGTTAGATAAATAATTTTTATAATAAAGACAATTTCATTGTCCTACATATCATTTCAATACATTGAAATTGTCTTTATTATAAAAATTGTTCATCTAACCCTTGTATACGTGCTATCAAACTAAACTATATTTATATTAATTGGCACCTTTTGCTTATGTTCATTTCATTACTAGACAATAGTCACATTTCTGTAACCATATGAAATAACTCAAATATTGTACACGTCTGAAATATTTGTTAGCAAATTATGTATATTCTACAAACATAAATGTTACCTCCCTCCCCCTCTGGCTATATTTACTTACCTTTTGCTATCTAAAAAAAAAGACAAGTGGGAAATCCTACACCCCTGACCTTTTTACTTACCTACCAAACATGTGCCAGTACTTGAACAACCTCAGTGCTCAAACCACGGTTAGTAAGAGAAAATATTACAAATTTATATAAATGGATTATATACATTATTTTTTTAGTTTTAGTTTGTATAGCTATTTACATATTTAATTTTAATATGTGTATTGCAATATTAGTTAAGATTCATGTACCATCAATCACTATAGTTTATTATTTATAATTAGCGGTCGTATACTATTACATCTCTGATTGTAATTTTAAAAAACGTTTTCAGCCCTGAAGATAACCCACATGTTTGGGTTGAAACGTTGGCAAAAATAAAAAAATTTAAAAAAGACTGCGTCCTGAATATTTATCACCTTAAATATGCAATTTCACTTTCATACGACTTTTCGTTTTTGAGCTAGACTGATCATATTCATACACACAGACACAGACAGTAGTATATTTTATAAACAATAGCTACTGATTTATTTACTTGTTACTCTCAGTACATTGGCAACCTCATCTCACATTTTATTTAAGGCTAGTCTCTTGCAGTGTTGTTAGCTCTATCGATCCCGCTGAAATCTTTTATTTTGACTTATTCTCTTTTTTGGGGACGGTGTAGGGTTTTAACCCTTCATAAAATTCTCATGTATTTTACCTTTTTTTTTTTTAAGTTTGCCTGTAAAATGAGGCTTACCTGTGCTACTCATTAACTGCAATATTCCCTGTTTATGTTAACAAAATATATTTTATTTTCCTATATCATCATCTTTCCCCTAGATCATAGCTGCGATTTTTCCAAACGATTCAGTCCTTAATGGGCCTCATGAAACCAAAACTAGGTCTTTTTACAAGCCATTTCCTGTTAATCAGTATGTGTTCGTTATATTTATTCCTATGATTATATTAATGATTTCCATTTATCATTCCAGGTGGCTAGGTTAGAAGGGCAGGTCACCAGGTACAAGACAGCTGCTGAAGCCGCGGAGAAAGTTGAAGACGAACTGAAGCTGGAAAGGAGAAAACTACAACGAGAAGTATGTTCTACAAATATATATCTTTTATGTTTCTTAAATGGATGTGTCATGACTTAAATATGAGTAAGAAATTAATAAATAAATAAGGCCTCATTAATTATCACCATAACTTTATGTAATTCAAAATTTCTAGTACACCTTGTTTTTATCATCATTACCTTGTTTTACATTTATACTTAATAATCTATCCTAACGATATTGCAACTAATGTTATCCTATTAATCTTTCAATATCTTTATTTCTTAACCTTTTGTCCCGTTATCTGTTTACTTACAGTTATCAAATGTAACCTCCACTAGCTTGTTATCCACTGATCTTATTATTATGTTATCTTATTCTTATTTTAGCTTTACTTATTCAATTTTCAATCTCTCTATTCGTTAACATTCATTTTCTTTATCTGTTAACCTACAGTTATCAAATGTAATCTTTTTTAGTTTGTTATACACTCGTTCCTTATCTTTTATCAAAATCTGTTTACTTTTAACTTACCTGCTATATTCTCCTTTATTTTTTATATTTATTCATACTTATTTTCCATTTTTGTTTGTATCTTCTACATATATAATATTTGATATTTTAACTACATTGTCACCCACTATATCTCTGATATCTTTTTATTTCTTTATCAGACTACTTCTTCTTATTTTATATCTACTTATACTCATTTATTTTATTTTCACCATGTTTTGTATCTTTTGTAGTCCTGATGAAGACCTGCAAAGTGGGTCAAAAACATCGGTAAAAATTAAATAATACTATTTGTATAATTTAGTATTTATTTGACCACACCACGCAAATCGGTCATATTCTGTTATGTAGTGAAGAGATTGCAGAGTTCATCATCTTTAGCAGATCTTTAAATATCTTTTAAGTCTGCAGTGGCCTTTTAGTACTCTGATGATCAGTCAGATTTACTTTTTAGTTAGGCCCAGCAGCCATTTAGTTTTAAAGGAGGAGGAGGTTTTGGTAAATTATTTGGCTTGTCTAAGTTCAGTGCATTCCCTTCACTCCTCGCCTGCTCTTTTCAAAATCCAATCAAGGGCTTCTTTTCGCTGATGTTTCTTGGATGTTTCTATTAGCAGGTCCCAGACCTATGATAGGAAATTCCGCTCCTTTCCTTGCAACACAAGAATAAAAAATTGTTATTTTTATTAAATAAACTCTATAAACTAATCTAGTAGTTTAAATCTGGTTGTTTTGATAATCTTTCTTTAACAAATCTGATTAGGCCTCATTAGTGTGATCCAGCTGTATTTTTTTTTTTAAGTTATTTATTTTTAATCTAGAATATTAAGAAAATTAGATATTTTGACAGTGTATATATTTAGGATTTTTCTGAATAAAAATACAATCTTAGATAATAATAAAGGCAAATAATGATAATAAATTATAATTTACAGTTGAGAGAATGCCAGGCAAGAGTCGAGGAACTGGAGACAGCAAACACTCACCTTCAGAGAAGGCTAGACAAACTGAAGACTGCCAAGTCAGCGTTACTAAAAGACTTGTAGCGAAGGTAAAACTAGTCATTCTATACCTATCATTAGGTTTTTTTTTTTAAATGTAATAACAAATTTGACTAATGATTATGGGTTTGCCTAAGGCCTTGATAAAAGGGATTTTCAAGAGGTTTAATATGGCCGCTATACTGCTGCAGCTACGTTCATTTTTGGGGTTTTAGATTTTATCGGGATGCCACTGGATAATTATTGATGATAATTATCCAGAATTATTTAATAAGAATTAATTAATAAGAAATTAGTAAAATAAAATTGGTTCTTTAACCTATTTGGTCCATGATTAATTAATTGGATAATTTTTCGCAAAGGCTGGTGTGTGTTTATTGTGCTCTCTAATTACCAAACATTACCTGTGATTTTAATGATATAAATAGGTGGCATGATTAAAATAACTTTTATTCACAAACTTATTTTATTTCTGAAACTAAATAAAGAATATGTACAAATTATTTCAGAAATCTCAATGTGCAAAAAATATATATAATAAACTATACAAAAAATATGATTCAATAATTGGTTGTGAAGGCATGATTTCAGATGGACTGAATTGAAAATTATTTTGCCATGAAATATTTTATAACATTATGATTAGGAATTACAACTTATCTATAATGTTATGTGAAGTGGTGTATTTGGTAGATGTCATCGCTGCATCTGCGAAGTCGAGATCATCTGGTCATGGTTCATGTGGGGCCAAGGCTTCAGTCCCCCAGCCAGAAGAAAACATCAGACCGGGCAGTGACAAATGACCATAAGCCTTCTCCTCCTTGTATCTCAGTGGATTTTATCGAAATATCTAGGGTGGGGCAAGAATGGTTCCCATTAGTTAAATTTTTGTAGCAGAAGGGATGACCACACCCCCAGGCCGTTTCCAGCAGGCACACGACTGTTTCCTCTTTCTCGAAGGTGTTTTTTTCCTCCTTCGGTGTTTTTGGCCGATCTGTGTCATTAAGTGTTCTATTGCCCCTGCTAAAAGATTGCTAGGCGGTCTCAGGTATCCAGACCTTTCTCTAAGTAACCACTTTCCCACCGTTAACCGGGCATCTGTTACCAATTACGATTTAGACTACATTTCTTCATTTAAAATAATTGAATATATGCCACATGTGGTCCTTAAAATACAAGAACAGCATATATCTCTGTACAGCATACACATTAGAACTCCTGAAAATCCCTTTTATTATTGACCTTAGTAAATTTATTCACTGCTTTCTGAAAAAAAGTTTGTCTACTTTTCGGTGGTGTACTTAAAATTGTATTATCTTGAAAAGTTTTTGAGCAATTCCTTCTAGCAACATTTTTTCTGACCAGAATCGGTCCGTATATCAAATGAACTTTTTAGTTGGAAATTTTGTCTAGAATAACTCCCCAGAATTTGACCATTAAGAACTGAGGCACCCTGCATATCTTTTTTCCTTGTTCAGTAGTTGCATCTTATTTGTATCCTTCTTTTAAGCCCTGATGAAGACTTACGATGTAGGTCGAAAGGTCTGTAATTAATAAATAATTTTAAATTATTTGATTTTTTTTCTAATCATCTCCTATATTAATAATGTTAGTTTGCTTTTTCTTCCAAAGATTCTCTTGCAGGGTTTGTGAATAAGTTCTGAGTTTTTTGAAAAAAAAAAAAATGAAAACTTTATTTATAAATAACAGTTAGATTCAGGTCATTCAAAGTATTGTCCATCCGTAACTTTTTCCTATTTTTCAGATAAGATACGGATTCTACTTTGAAAAAAAGTAATATTTTTTGGGCAATCCAGTCATCGTTCCATTTTTTAGTTTTGTCATAAGAATGGAAGCACTGCTGACCCAGGCTGTGAGTCAGTGATCGGAACAATTTGTAATATGAGGTCGAGCATTATCACACAGTAAAATTATTTTATTGTATCTCTGCTTGCATTAGTCGCTTTTGCTTCAGGGCTTGGCTCAAATACATCAATTGTAGTCTATAACAATCTCTTGTGATGGTTTCGGAGCTGAAGCAGCTTGTATTTTACTTTTTAGGAGATGATCATCTCAGAGACCAAAATCATTGTTTTAAAAGTGTTTAAACCATTCTCTACGTGTTCTTTCTGATAGAACGTGATTGCCATAAGAATTGATGCCTTTTAGCTGCAGTTTTCTTTTGGAAAATTCCTCGCGAAAACAGTTTTCAGAGAATGAAATCTGCCTTGTTTGAAGTGATATGAACAACGTTGTATATAATTCGAGGATTTAAAATAGACTGATAACTTGAATACAGAGGTTTAGCTCTCTGAATATAGTCGGTTTCTCAGTGTTGTCAGATGCATGTATGTAATAAAATAACTGTCTAGATTGGCGGAAACTTAATAACACCCCAATATCATCCTAGCTTTATACAATCCATGAAATATTAATAATTTTGGATTAATTAATATACAATTTGAATTATAATTAAATTAATTGTAATTTACAAATTGTTAATGTGTGAATTATTTCCAGGCTGGACAGGTAGCAGTCGTGGAGGCTACCTAGGTGAGAGCAACCATCTTGCTCGTCGGTGAACAGTGGCAATGAGATTACAATAATGTATATTATACATATCGTAACGACCATAAAATGAGAAGCAATCTTGTTACGCCTTTTATAATAATTCTTAAAATTTGTCTTCTAACTTCTTTCATGATATCGAAAGGATACAACTGGATTTTTAAATAATGTTCTTTTATTGAAGAATTTTTAAATTTCAAAATGAGAAAACATTATGATGATTGTACCACATTAAGGAACATTTGATAGATTTTTTTTTATATTCAATAATTTTACTCATTTTTTATTTTTATTAAAAAGGATATTATTTTAGAATTTTAAAAGTTTCTTGCTTATTTTTTTTAATCCATGCTTTATTTACAAAGTTATTAAAATGATTGTGTACATTTTATTGTTACAAAACATGTTAAAATGTTATTTATTTTTAAAAATAAAATTAATTTATATGTTTTTTTTTTGTTTTCTTGCTTTTCTAATAGTTTTTAAATGTTATCTATTATGATTATCTGTCATCTATAAATTTATGATCCACAATAATCTTCATTCTATTTGAATTACGATATGTATAGTATAATTATGATATACATATATACATAAATATATATATAGCAACTATATATTAAAGCATTGTACAGAATATATATATAAATAATTATTTAATTATCAATTCTATATTAATATATTTAACAAAACCTAAATAAACTTAACAAATTGTTATGGATACCTCTTTAATAGGCTATAAAGGAGTAATAAATTCGAGCGAAAGTCATCTATATTATCTTATGTTACCAGGAAGTTTGAAAAATTGTCAAATTAAAGAAATATATATATAATAAAATAAACTTTAAAAAAAAATGCTTTGTATGTAATATTTCAGTCCGTCTTTGTGTCAACCACTGTAAATTGAATGTATAGCTATACAAAATGTTTTATTTATAATCGTAAACGACTATGGTTATGTAATAAGTTAAAAAAAAAAAAAAACGAATTAAAGCTTTATTACTTATTTATTACTTCTTGTACATTAATTTAAAATAAAAATGACCATTTTATTAATACATTAAATAAACGTTTGGGTAGGTTGGGTTCGATATGTGGAATTGCCTTTGCACTTAATATATAACACGATAATAAATAAATGTACATTATACATTATTTCTATTGTTTTTTCTGCTAAGCAACCAGTTCTAGTCTGAATTGTGGAGAATTTTTTTTTTTTATACCTTCTGTTAAACGCGAAATAGTTTCAATATATATTTAATGGGACCAAATTAATTAATTTAAGTTTTTCTCACCCCATGATCCTTCATATTTTGGGCAAGTTTCTAAACTCAGCGCTGGACTCATCAATGAATGAAATTAGTGTTGAATTTAAGAACTTGCCCTTTCCTGTAATGCTATTTGTTATCCTTTATAACCTTTCATTTTCCTTCTTTTATTGTTAATCTTCTGTTATATTATTTTAATTTACAATAAAATATTTCAATTTCTTCAAATGCATTTTCTTTTCTTTTTTATTATCTGTTCATCTGATGTCAACGCGGCTATGTTCATGTTTTTATATCTTCATTTTCTTATTATATGTTAAAATTTGTATCTGTTATATATGATAATTTGTTAAGTGGGCTTTACGAGTTTGATTATTCTCCGGTTAGAAAACAAGAGACTTTTAGAAGTTTATTAACCTTTTATTAAAAACAAGTGTATTTACAGAGCTGGTGGGCACAAGTTTACATGAATAATCTGTAGATGAAAGTGTATTTATGAAAAGTTGTTAAAAAATTTAAATAACCACAAATTGTTACCATTACACATGTACACAAAAATTAATATTATGATTCAACATTTCTTTGCTTCTTAAGGAAATCATTCCATTTGATTAAAATGTATATTTTTCATTTTAGTTTTGTTGTAAAATTTCAAAAATTGTACCCAACAGGGTTTAGCGTAACTTATTTCAATTTTACGTGTATATGAGGTGTTTGATTTCAAAACCGCTTGTATCCATTTTCGAAAATTCTTCAGAACTGATCAAAAAAGATTTGATAGAACCACTTTTTATAGGAAATCAAATCTTTTGGTATTAATTTTTGGGAGATCTAGACGGTTTTGAAACAAACATCTAATTTTATAAAAATAAACATTAAAAACTTATGAAAAATAAAAAAATTATTTTTTTAAAATAAATTAATGCAACTGGTTTTGAAACAAACGCTATGATAGCACATTGTAATTGTAAATCTCTCATTATAAATCATATTGTTATTTAAATTATTATTATTTAAATATAGATAAATAAAGCCAAAATTCACAATACCATATTAGAAAGTTAATCTATATCAAAGATGCATTTAGTGACTTTTTGGAATAATTCGACTATATATTTTATATTTGCTTTGTTACAATTCAATCGGGAGTGAAGAAAGTAAAATAACCTTTGTATCGTTGTTAAAATTTATATGATATTTTCCTCTGCTTTCTATATATTAATGGTTAATTGGTATTTGTAGTAGTTATTAAAATTATTACTACTTTAATAAAAATAACGCTATTGGACTTCTGTTGCTCATCATAAACAATCTATTGTAGTCGAGTTCTTACCAAATATCTTAAATCATCCATTACTTATTTTTAATTTCTAATTTCAGAAATATTGTTATCAATAAGCCGAGAAAATACAGAGGATCTTTATAATCATTGTTGGAGGCATAAAAATTGTGTTCAAAAATCGGCTTTTAATATAAAATAAAAATTATGTTGATAATTTTTATGATTCCATGTACAGTGTGAACTTGTGCCCAGCCACCATATTATCGACTGTGTTCTCTGTAAATACAAAAAAAAAAATTTTTGGCCCATCTGTGATAATCAAATCTCTTAACTTAGTGTCCTGTTCTTTTAAACATATGTTTTATTTCAGTTCTCAACTTTTTAAAAATTTAAAAATGATTCTATATTACAGGATTGAATTCTATAATTATGTATACTGTATCATATTTCTAATCTGTGTGACCTAAACTTGATATACACGATAATTTCCTTAATTCGAAGGAAGGCGAGCTGCTATTAAATTGTTGATAATATAAGATTAATTAAAAGACCTCTGTTGCCAAGAAGATTGTTTTAATCTGTCTTGACAGCTTCAACTAATTTTATTGAACTATTGTCCAAAATTGTTTTTTCTTTAAAATTGTGCACTTCAATTTCAGCCGAAAGCTGATTTTAGAAGATAAAAGGATTTCGGATAGAAATGTATATAACATGTATAATAGAAGATAATTTGTAACAATTTTAAATAGTGTTATGCCAAATAAATATTACTCATAAAGTTAATCTGTCCAATTTTTTTCTTTTTTTTTTTTTTTTTGTTAAGAAACCCTTTATCCTACATTTCTTTAGTTCTTAGTTATGTTTTTGAATTTGTTGATTTTAGATAAATTTATAATTTAAAAATAATTCTACTGTGCTACATACTATGGTTTAATCTATTCAACACAGCACCCATATTGCAGAACTTTCAAAGCATACTTATCATAAATAACACTTTAAACTCTGACTCTTATGTTAAATTATCTAGCATAAACTTCTTCCTATTATGTTAAATGGAAGTTTAAATAATAACAAAAGGCTTAGCGAACCTAAAGGTTCAGTGCCAACACCAGATCACCCTTTAACGCAATCTTCCCATAAGTCCCCAAAGACACTTGCTGTCAGTTGGATAGGATCTTTTTCAGTTGTTCAGCGGTTGCCTTTGTAATGTATTTAGTTACTAATTAAATCTTATTATTCCATTTTATAATTCGTATCATAATTACTGTCTTTTTAAATAAATTTGTACAGCAGACTCTCACATATCTGGACTAATCTGGGTGAATCTGATCCATATGTATGGAAAATCTGGATACAGGACAGTGACTAGTAAATAAAAATGGATGTACTCCAGAAGGATCTCCAGCGTTGATTCACGGCTGATGATACATACCTAATTCTGTCATAAATATTGTTACAAGGAAATATATACAGATTTCATCAGAAAAATTAATGTTTTCAAAAATTTGATTAGAAAATAAAATGTATATCTATAGAGTAAAACATTAAAGAAATTACTCAAAATGTACCCTTTTCCACAATTCCAATGACTTCCTGAGCTTCTTTAGAGGTGTGGCGATTAAAATTTTCTTCAGTTGTAAAAATGTTCTCATCGCTAAACAAAATCTTTCGATGAAGACCATTGGTGTAACGGTCATGGAGCACTTTGCATCTATCCTTCAAATTTTTTTTTAGGGAAGTTATTAGGCTTTGTCCTGTCATTCTTCGAAATGCACCCATCCTAAGGTTACTTTTTATTATATGAGACATTGATCTAACAGAGATTTCCATTTCCCGAGACATGTTTTGTTGTTTTCGAAGGAGATTTCTTTTGGTTCGAGCAGCCACTGCTGTGACTATATTTACCGTTCTTAAAGTGGTGGTACAGTTTGGTCGAGGTCTGTCACATACAGAAAGGGTCTCATTATATCTATTCATAGTGTGGTACACGAATATACGGCTGATACCCAAATGTTTCAAAGTGTTGAAAATCTCTGACCTAAATTTTCTATCCAACTTTGTGTAAGACGATCACAGCTATTCTGTTTTCTTTATCACCGAACTCCATTTTAACTGAGCGAAAGAAAAATACAAACTAATTAGGATTATTATCCTGAAATGTAAAGAAAATAACCTGATAGAGGTAAGAATTATCTAAATAATACCCTAATAGAATGTAAACAAAGTTCAACTTTTGTAACAGTATTTTTGGCAGAACTAGGTATATTCAACTTGTTCTATTAATTTTAATTTCTTTTTAACCTAAATAATTAAATTTAATTAATTCTAGCTCTATATTAATAAGTATTGCACAAAAAGGTTTAGAGGCCGCAGGTTCCCATCTATGCATTATACCGTCAAATCTCTGTCAGCTCAACTTTTTAAACAAGCATTTATAAAGAAAATGCTTGTAAAATACATTTTAAACTTAATATTTTTATTCAGACAACAACGTAAGAGAGAAAAAAAGACATTTCTTGGATGGAAGTCACTATTCTAAGCTAAAAGGAATGAGATACTAGGAGCTGTCTGAGATACTGCTAGGAGCCGGCTGCCTCTGACGTAGCCTCGTCTCCACTCTTGTGACACCTCTATCCCCACCGCTTTTCTTTAATGTTTATTATATTTGCAAATAAATATAAGAAAAATTCATGACTTTTTTTTTTTATAACCTAATCATTCTTCACCATCTAATAAATATTAAAAGTTCATGGAAGTAACCAATTTAGAACAAAAACACGAGGACATATATAATAAAAAGAAATATATTTTATAATATCAACATGGAAATATCACAAATTTCTAATAAATACATTTATTAACTAAGTATTGTATTAAACTACTCTTCGACTTAATCATGTAAATTGTTACCAGCCCATTGAGACTCGTAAGCTGCCCTGAAGCCCACTGACCTGGAACAATAAAAAACATTTTATAGTGAAATCTATTATTGCTAACAGACATAGCTATTATTAAAATTAAAATTAACCTTATTTAAAATATATATTTTTTGTGATTTTTACAAGTATTTTGAGCATCGATAAATATAAGCGAAGACATTCAATACCTTTTTCTCAACAGATTTTCTATTTAGTTTAATAGCTATTGGAGAGCTTTAGTGTTATCAAACAATTTTTTTTTTTTTAAACTATATAAATAAAAATGTAAATGTTAGTATGTTCAAAATTGATGATCTCCAAAATTTTGACACTGATTGCTTAGAAATTTTAAAACAATGTTGCAATCAAATTTAGGATTTATTTTTATATAGACATCATTACCATTTGGCCTTTCGTTTTCAAATAAAGGCCGAAAAACATTTGCGCTATAGACTGTAGCGCCAAAACGGCTGTAATGATGTTAATGAAACTTGGGTTAAAGTCTTCATCTTGAAGCCTTTTTAATTTATGTATATAATAGTTATTTACTTTAGTGAATTTTTTATCACTAAAATGGTTTGCCTGTGAAATTAATCTAACGTTCCTTTCCAATTATATTTAGTTATTATTATGTTATTATTTCACCACTAATATTGCAGTATTGTAACCCTATTACCCATCTGCATTCGTTAACATATCCTCAGAGCTATGTATATATTTGTTTTATTACTTATATTTTAGTTATTATTTATTGTAATAGGTCTTTTGGGCAGATTTATTGTTAATTTGTTTGAACAATATTGTTATTCTTAAGAGACTTTGTCCCAGTTTTTCTATTCTAACATACTTCCTCAAAAAGTGAAAAGTAACGATGTATTTAAAATTTTATTTTTGAATAGCTCAAATAGTACAGAACTATTTTATATATATATTACATATAAAAGTGTATGTAGGAATGTTTTAGAGTAGAAAAAAAAAATTAGAAACAAACTCATATAGGTTTTTTTAAAGTGTTACTAATACCAAAGCTTCTTCACAAATACTTATCATGTTATATATTCTTTTTGCAGATTTACTTGTATAAATGTTGACAGTTGTAATTAGCAATATACGAAGACAAAAAAATATATACAGGTTTTTCTCAAATTTCCAATGATTATTATGGTCAAATTTTGATCACTGAACACTGCCAATCATAATTTGTTAAATTTAATATTACTATGATTATATGTTGATAAAAAGTTTTAAAAATATAGAGAGTATTGAGAAAATTCTAGAGTATATAGAAGTTCTGTAGGTTATAAAGCCTTTCCAATCTTGCAGTGAAGTTAGTGAATTAAAATGAATTAATGTAATTTGTTGTATACATACTCGAAAAAAGCTTCACCAGCCCCATTCCCTTTTATCACGTGCAAGTGTGGGTTAATTTGCATTTTGCCAAGTTCTTTAGCTATAGCTTCTACTACTGCTTTTCCATAACCTTTTCTTTTTTCACTTTTAAGTGTTTGTACCTAAAAAAATATTTTTTTTATTTAAAAAACTGAATACAATAAAATATATTAATATTATAAGAATAAGTACATAAATTATTTATTTTTTATCATAAAACGTTTGTACACAAGGACAGTATTGAATACCAATTTAAATGCTCTAATGGCTGCCTTTTTTTTGTACATTTTGTATGAAATAGTATGTTTTAAACTTCGGTGAATAATACATTAGGATGTATGGGAATACGGAGAAGGTTACTGAAGAATATGAAGAAGTGTTTGACAGCTTTTCATGAAGCTCTAATTGAAGTTGTATATTCTTTAACTGAAGAACTTCAGGATATATTAACCAAAAATATTTGGTAACGACTGATAGCCTTATCCAGAATACTCTAAAAAAATTCTGGTTCATCCATCCATACACTCTCCTTATTTTTATTTGGTGATCCAAGAAGATTTTGTGATTGTGTATGAGGCAATTCATGAACTCTTGAATATAATTGAATCTAAAAGTATATATATTCAAATCAGCAATGATAATGAGGAATGTTATACATATATATGAAATAGCTTATAAGTATAATGGAGGATTTTGTGGATGTGGTTTGACGTATGGAGTTAGGTAGAGAGTTCCAAAAGAATGTAGTACAAATGAGGAAGAATTTGTTGAAGGAAGTAGTTTTATTGGAGGGGATATACAGATCAATTTGTTGAGATTTGATACTTAGAGAGTGAATAGAGAAATGTACAGTATAGAGATTTTGGATGGCTTCAAAAAGGAAACACTGAGGAATGATAAAACATATTACAAAATTACAAAACATATTATAAAATTACAATTACTACTATCAAAGTTTGATAGTAGGAAATACTGATAACTTTACAGACTATTTATAAGATATAAATACTTCTATAATAACAAAAAACAATGAAATAATAGTGTAATAAAGAAATGATATAATTGAAAAATGATTAAACTCACTGTTCCAATTCCTCCATAGAAAAAGTGAACTGCCCAGGACAATAAATCTTCTCCACGAAAAACTCCAAGACCAAAATTGCGTTTGATCTGTCTTGCGACCAGTTCTTCCGATCCAGGAAAATGATGTATCCATTCCCTATCTACAATTTCAGCATGTTCTGGGCTTAGTTTTCTTATTTCCACTCCTTCGGGTAAACTATCACAACAAAAATTATTATTAGAGGAGAATTAGTTGACTGAGCATAATGTGGTTGGGAGTACTAATTTCTAGTAAATTCTAATTTAGATATCACAGCAATTATTATTTTCTATATACTTCTTATTTCTTTAAATTTAATTTAAATATATAACATTTTATTTCTATGCTTTTCATTGTCATATTATTTTTTATCTCATTTCTCAAGAACATATTATGACAAACTCATAATAATTAACATATCGTATTTGTTTTAATTTGCTACTTAGTTCTCTGATTTATTTAAGTTACTTAATATTCCATTTCATTTCTTTATTTCATTACTTTGTTACTGTTATTTTATTACTTTGTTACCATTGCTTTTTAACTCCCTATATAATTTTTATATATTTTACATATTACTTATGTTCTATTCATTAATTATTAATTTTAATTTTTTAACTATTTACTTATAATTCTCTAATTATTTTTACATATACTAATATAATTATTTCTTTATTATTTACATATCATTGGTTAATTGCAGACACTAAATGTATTTTTTATGTAGTTTAACTTTCAAGAATGTTTTTGTGAATTTTGATCGTATTTGTCAATACAAAAACAACGTAAATACATGAAAATGACACGAATCTTATAATTTATCATATATTATTATACTATTTGCACAATATTATGATTTCACAGAGGCAAAATTCATCTAAGAAGAAAGTGGGTCGAAACATCGGCATTAAAATTAAATAATACTATTTCTATAATTTAGTATTTATTTGACAGCACCCCCCGATC